CGTTTGACAGAGGGATAGTTTTCAATTTTGCAGCACTTGCTTCATCCAGCATAATTGACACCATGTCTACAGTTACTGGGAAAATGAGCTGCTAAGCAATTGTGTGTGGTTTTTTGCACTGTGCAATTCTGTATGCAACTTTGAAGGAAGCCATTTGTGCTTTGCTGTTCACTGATGCAGATTTTACCATGCGATTTTCCTGTTGACAGGTTTCTGCCAGCTTTCTTTTAAAGAAGTCGAGTGGTTTATTAACGTGACTGGGGTATGTTGTCTCTAAATGTCTTCTTAATTTGTTGGGTCTCATGCTGTCTGCTGCCAGCGGCATAAGATACAAGACACACATGGGTCCCTCCTCTGCCCCCACCATTCCCATCGTGAATCCAAGCACAAGATAGGCTTCATCATATTTTCTTTTCAGCTGTTTTTTTTGGTTGATAAGGCTACTGCCTTTTGTTTTTTTGTCTGCTTGCGCTGAATCGCCTACTTTTTTTTGTGGTCCATGTAACACATTTATCCATTTACGTTATTATGCCCACTACGTACACTATTGGCCCTCGGTGTGAACATTTCCTTATATTGTTGCGCTGCAGTTAACATGTCGACAGTAAACTGTTATTGTTGCACTATGGTTCCACCTTTTTCTCCCGGGCCCTGAACTGATGTTATTTTAATTTACTTGTATTAATGACCCATTTCTAATTTTCTCCATTCATTGCGCCCCACCTGTCATGTCTTTACTCCCCACTAGTGGGGCGCGCCCCACACTTTGAGAACCACGGAACTATAGTAAGCCAGCTCAGCTGGCAAAGCACATGTTAACACATTCTAGATGGTACATCTGCGTAACCATACAATCCTTGTGACCATGGTGTATACACTCGTCAGACCCTGCATGTAAGGCAGTAGCGGTCATGTAAGCAGAAGTAACCATGAGGCATACATAGGGCCATATGTCAAAATGGGGTGACCCCTGTATTGGAAATGTGTAATTTCTGGTTTTAATTTGACAGGATAGGGACACTCAATGAAACTGGCAGACAGCAGGTGTGCATTAATTACAATATAATTGCCAAAGAATCACTGTACTCACAAATATGCAGGTGAACGGTAGAAACAAGATAGGAAGCAACCACAAGGTGGTGTTGAGGGCGCCCAGCAGACAGCGATAAGTAGATTTATGTCTTCTTAGCAAAGGCTGCGACACCATACAGTGTTAAGGAACAGGTGAATAAACAGGTCTCCTTCTCCAGGTAGGCACAAATGAACAGTTCTCCAAAAAACAATATCCACAGTAGAGTGAGATGCAAAGCTTATGAGCCAACAAAGGTGTAGGCAGAGGCATAGACCACAGGCAGCAACACATAGAGGCTTAGGATCTAGTCAAACAACAGGAACAGAGTGGTTTGAGAGCTCTGTGTATGGCAAGAGGCAATGTGGCAACTGAGAGGCAAACCAGAACAGATTAAGTAGAGTAGGCAGACAAATGAGGCATAGGTGAAGCCAGTCAGCAGCTGATTGGGCTGAAAAAAACTGGGGCAGGTGACATGGTGCAAGACAGACAGGTAGTCAGAGATGGATCATGACAACAGCAAAAGCTTGGTTCTCCTGAACAGATTTCTCCTCCATACATCTCTCCCGGTGTGCGTCTGTCCTGATGTAATTACAAAACATTTAGAGGAAACTATTATAGTCATTCATTATATTCACAAGTGAATTTTCGCTGACTGAAACAAGGCATTAACAGACATACAATGTCTGTTTTTTTTATTTTATTTCCTGTTAAGTCCCACTGAGTAGTGGAAACATCACTCCCTTTCAAGTAGCTCCAAGGTCAGTAAATCCAACCAGTGGTCACTGCGTCTTCCCCCACATGACCACATACAGTCCCAAAATAGTGAAATTAATTTCAACAAGTAGTGTAGCACCGACAATAACATCATGGGTTGTTAATCTGCTCATTAACCAGCAAAACATCACATGCAACAGACACACTGGCCTCAAGCAGTCAAAACAAACAGGTACTGTGCTCTGAGGGAATCCAGCATGGATGAGCTGATCATTCACTGCTGTGGGGGGCTTCACTGGCTGGCTGCTTGTAGATTAGACCCGGTCAGGTAAAACAGTGAGTCCCTGTACAGGAACAGGACATGCAGTAACCTCAGGTCCTGTATTTTCCCCCACATCCTTTGGTCACAGTGCAGCAGCAGGAGGGAAAATACCGTATATCCACAAAACTGGGCGCAGTCAAAAAATTCCACTTTTACAATGGCACCGGTGGATGTCAGGCAAGCTCACATGAGACCACGTAAACTCCACACAGAAAGGCCCCAGTTGGCCACAGCTATTTTGGTTCACATACGTATGTGAGGCGGAATATAAATCAGAGGATGTGGTCATTAATAAATTCTCAGCCAATCAACTCACTTATCTCGTTGCTCTGACACAGCTGAACCAGTCATAATAGTATATGATGAAAACAGCTCAACAATAGTAAATTTGCTGTCACTGGCCACTTTATTACGTACACCCATACAGTTGTATGAATTTCAATGCAACACTTCCACCATAACATCTGTGTTTTTGAAACACAGAATGTTTTTGGTGAAATTGTCATCAATATTAAAATTAAATTATCCATTATCTATACTGCTTATTCCTTACAGCTGGCACTAGGCGAGAGGCAGGGCACATCCTGGACAAGTTGCCAGTCTGTCACAGAGCTTAAATTCAATTATATGTTTATTATTGAGGTCATAGTTGATGTTGTACTGAACTACATTATATTCAGAGGTGTTCCTAATATTCTGACCCTCTCATGTTTGTGGCTGGAGAGAACAAAAATATACGGACACTTCTGAATATAATGTAGTGCAATAAACATTTATGACATTTTCACTAAAAACTGAAACATTTTGAGCTTCACAAACACAGATGTTAAGGTGGAAGTGTCACACTGAACTGCATACAATTTACATGTGTACCTAATAAAGTGGCTGGTGAATGTATATTATCACATTAGTCTGATGCTATTTGAGTTTGATTTCTACTATATCTCATGTCACAAATGGCCACACTGTAATGTAAAATGAGCATTTGTACCATAATGCATTTTATGAACAAATGCTAAAACAAGCGTTTGAGCAGAAGTAATGACACACAGGATGTTTGAGATGCTATAATCTGACATCTCCCATTTAAACAACAAAAAAACAACAACCCAGTCTGATATGCATAGTATTGTATGTGTTCTAAATATTTGTATGGGTAATTTCTTCGCTGATATGCATTTACTCAGGTATTTTCTTTGCTCTTCTTGATATAATCACTGGCCTCTAAGCCAGGCCTCAGAGTGAAGTTGAACCCAAAATGAAACACAGTTCTGAAACTATTCTCTGCTGTGCTTCGCACAGCATTTAAGCCATGTTTTCAGCCAATAAATTAAGAACCCAATTTGTGTTATCTCATTTGTATAAACCTGCCACCTCTTTGCGCATCCTCCCTCCTGTGCACTCTATATAAACTATCACACCACTGGGCAAAGCCAGTTTTAAGGTGAGGAAAATGATCAGAGCGTGTTACACCATCATCCTTTGAAAGCATTTCTTTAATCTGTTCCCCAACCTCATGAAAGTGCAAAACTCAGTCAGTCTCAACCATGGTAAACAAGAAGGTTTTCTGATTCCAAATCCTGCAGTCAGACTCCTCACACTAAAAGCCCTTTCATGGGCTTCACTTAGAAGAATACAGACACGGACTGTGGACATGCTACCATTCATACACATTCAGATAGGTACCATTCACATTTCATCTTTGCAAAAAACATGATAGCAATCTCCTCCAAAGGAGAGCTCCTTTGTTTGTTGTTTTTGAATGAACAAAAAAAAAAAAAAATAGAAAGAAAGCTGTGTAATACAACTGAGGACATGCAAAAAATTACATACAGTACGTACATACACACAGACCACAAAATACCACTTGTCTGCTGCATGTGCAGTCAGCGCATTCGCAGTGTGACCTGTCCACTGGGACTCAAATTTTGGACTGCATGCAAATGTCCATGCAGAGTTTGCGTGGACTATCACTTGGGCAGGTGATGATATTTATGTCATGCTGCTGACCCAAGTTTCAGTGGATGCGAAAAGCACGAATAGATTTTTATGTGCAAAGCCAAACATAGTGCTTCAGTACTAAATTCAGGGGGTCCCTTAAACATCATTTAAAGTAATGTTGGGTATATTCATCAAATATTGACATCTGGCCATAGGGTTAAAGGTCAACAATCTAGAAAAAAACTCTCTAACTATCAAGTGGTGGTTTTCTACCTGTACCTAGAGTACATCTGGTGGGAGTGTTATTATTAGAGTTATTATGAGTTCTTACTGTTTTTGTGTGGCTGTTTACACATCAATTTTAATGCAAGATAATTGTAATGAATTAGGGTAAATAAATGTCATTTTCTTGCCTTACCTTAGTAAATCACTGGAGTATCTCTCTTAAGCTTAACTTAAAGAATAGCTTGGTTTTATTTATGAAGCTCTTGTGCATCATTAAATTAAAGTTATGGTTTTACTGCTTTAATCATAATCAATATACACTATGGATTGTGTGAGTGGAACTTGAATGGTAATAGGTCTGCTGGGAGGTGATGCTTGTTTATGTCCTTTTCTTGTGATGTACAGAGGGCTCCATTTCCTTCGTGAGGTCACCCCTTACAATTGCAGCCCAGTTTCTACTAAATGTGCTCTGCATAAAAGGGAGGAAAAAAAATGGAAACAGGAACATGCCCTGCCTGGAATTCCTCCTTCTGCTATGCCTGAGCTTGTATACAAGCAGATCGGTAAAGCTCTGCTCTAACTATTCCAACCATGCTGATGGGACCAGGCTAGACCAAGGGGGTGTGTTATTGAATCATCAAGGGGCTGGATCTAGCTGTAGGTGGAGACGTACTGATGTGTGTCTGTGTATTTAGGGAGGAGATAAGTTTGAAGAGAGGGGGAGAGTCCAGTGGAAAAAGGGAGGGCAAGAAAAAGAACCCTGAGAGAGAAAAAAAAACCCTGCTGGCTGTAACTTGACTAGAGGGTTTCTCTGTCTGGTGTGGCATTCACATCCTCACGCTCGTGTGATAACATCCAGCATTGCTTGGCTCCCCCTGCACACTGGCTTGATTCCAGGGAATTGAAGCAGACAGGACAAACAGACTGAGAGACAAACTGCATGTATGGTGGAAAGAGATACGTGATTTAGAAGAAAGGGGGAAAAAAACAAAAATCCAGAACAGAAGAAAAGAAGAAGCAAGTCAGAGAGCAAAGGGTTGAAAAAGAATCTAGAAGGATCAGAGCTAAAGAAAATTTGATAACCAACTGTATACTTCAAACTCACCAACATGGCAGCCATGGAAGCACTGGAATCCTCAAGTGGTCAGCTGGAACCTCAAACCCTCACTGAGATCTCAGATGATGAGGTCAACCTTCCGCCCTCAGATGAAGAAGATGATGCCCTTGCCACAGCCAAGAAAGAGCTGTCCACCATGGCTGCAGAGGGGAATGCTGCTGAAGACCAGGGCGAATCAGTGAAGTTTGACCCGCAGGTGAACGGGGTCATGGTGCTGTCTTTGCTTGACAAGATCATTGGGGCAGTGGACCAGATTCAGCAGACCCAGAGTGGGCTTGAGACCAGGCAGCAGGAAATGGAGCGCTCAGTAACTAGCATCCAGGGTGAGCTGACCAAACTAGCTAAGAACCACAGCACCACATCCAACAGTGTCAATAAGATGATGGAGAAGGTGCGCAAGGTGAGCGTCAATGTCAAGACAGTGCGGGCCAACCTGGAGAAACAAGGAGGCCAGATCAAGAAGCTGGAGAATAACGAGGCTGAGCTGCTCAAGAGACGCAACTTTAAAGTCATGATCTATCAGGTGGGACAGTGTCTGTGTGTATAAATACATATATCAGTGTGTGGTGTGTCTGTCTGAGACTCAGACTGTACATGTACATGGCACCTTAATGGTTTAGGATGGGTGTGGCCCATGGTAAGCCAAAAATGTGTAGGTTCTTGAATATGAGTGAATGTCATGACAGTACCACATCACTTTGCAAAAAATGCACCTGAAAATTATTCAGTGGTGGTTTTATAAAATGAAAAGTGTTGGTTTGCCAAACATGTTACTCACTTTGCTGAAATGCAAAGGATTTCAGGGTGTGGTTAAGGTTACCTCGAGGTATTGCCAACAAGTGATAGGCTGTGTTATCTCCGATCATTCAACCTGCAGTACACAGAAGGTAATGCTCTTCCCAGAGGAGGTTATATTTAAAAAAAATAAA